CTAGCTCAGTGTCTAGCTGGCAGCCAGTATCAAGTGGAGTGTCCAAGCATTGACTGCACCCTCAGCAAGTTAGCAGATGACACTTGAATTAATGGCTATTTGACAGAATCTATGAAGAATAAAAAATCAGCAGTCACATGGACAAATACAAGCTGCCAGGGAAAAAGTCAACGTGGCTTTCGTAAAAGGAAACCCTGCCCCACACAATCTGCTGAGAGTTTTTTGAGCGTGTTAGTAAGCAGATGGACAAAGGGCTTCCAGTTCACATACTATATCTGGGTTTTCAAAAAGCTTTCAAAAAAAGGTTCCCTGCCAAAGGCTTCAAAAACAAAAAATTCATAAACATTTTTGGACCTGGTCTTTTAACTCCCAAGATTTGCGATGCTTTCTAAATTAAGACTTTACTTACAGCTAGTGAAATTTCAGGATCTTCATCAAATGAATCGGCATCACTCTCTTCAGTCTGATATATAGTTACTTGATACACCTGATGAAAGAATGAATATTTTAGCTTCATTTGGCTTGGTATTTTATTTCCCACTAAACTTAAAGCAGGCAGTTCAGCATACCTAGGACTATTTAAAATAAAAACATACTTTTAAGAAAAGAAAATTAAACTTGATATATACATGAGCAGATGCTGCACGTATTTCCTCTGTGAACTGAATTTAGGATAAGCACTGCTTTTTATGGTTAGAGACTAGTTAGTCCAAGTTTTGGAAGCTTTTGTTCTCAAATGTAAACTATCTGAGAGGTGTGCAATGCACACACATCCTCAAATGGTCCGTGTCCACTGTGAATGACATTTTTAGCAATAAGAAAACATTTCACTCATTACTACAGCAGGAATGAAAAAGATTGCTGTAATCTAGTGCATATTTTGAACGTTAAAAATACAAAATCTAGATGTCTGTAAAGGTCTGTATTCCTAATTTTAAGGCTACCTTCATGGAGTTAAAAACTATTTTAAAATAAAGCATAAATCAAAAAACTCATTTCTATCAACCCATTTCTCCTCTCAAACTTTTGGGCAGGATATCAGTGGGCTCCTGTTCACATTGCAGCTTCACACAGAATCAGAACCTAATCTCATACACAAAAAATTCTTAGTTCTGAAAGACAACTATGCAAAGAGAATTATGCAAATGCTCTGGGGTGAGATTTAAAACAAAATTACATTTCTGTTTTTTTCCCCCAAATAAAAACAATACATGCCTCATCATCTTCGTCTGTGAGCTCCTGTCCTTCTTCATTGTGGCTATAATCTTCTGAATAAATAGACTCTACTTCAAACTCAACACTGAATTGGTCCGAGACAGAACTATGATCAAGCCAATCAGAGTTTTCACTTACTGAACGAGCATCAAGATCCTGAACAGAAAGACAGAGAAAATAAATTTAACTTCATGAATTTATTCTGATAACTACAACTGCTTAACGTGTACATAGAGAAATAATAATGAAGTGAAACTTCAGCTGCTGCATTGACAGCAATTTGAATTATTGCAGTCAAATGCTTTCAGGGATCTTGGATGCAACCACACAATTCTATGACAAAATAACTGGCTCTGTGGACGCTGGGAAAGCAGTGGACACGATATAGTTGACTTTAGCAAGGATTTGGATACAATCCCCACAGCATTCTTGCAAGCAAGCTGAGGAAGGACAGGCTGGATGAATGGACTAGAACAGGGGTAGGCAACGTTTTTTGGCCGGAGTGCTGAAAAACACCACAATGCCTACCTTGGAAGGTGCCGGAGTGCCAGCATGGCAGAAAAACAAAATTGAGGGCAAGGGGTACATGGCAGCATGCCCTGCTTGTGCCCCTTGC